GTGGAAGGGGGGAAGAGATAAAGGGGAAGGGGGGAGGGAGGGGGAGAAGAGAGAGGGGGAAAGAGAGAAGGAAAAAGAGGGGGGGAATCTTCCGTTTGGTGGTTCACTCCCCAAATGGCGGCAATGGCTAGGGCCAGGCCAAGCCCAAGCCAGGAGCCTGGAAGTTGACACTGGTCCACCATGCAGGTGGCAGAGACCATAGTACTTAGACCATATTCTGCTGCTTTCCCAGACACATTAGCAGGAAGCTGTAACAAAAGTGGAGCACCCAGGACTTGAACCAGCACCCACATGGGGCCCCAGCATCACAAGTGGTAGGTTAAGCTGCAGTGCCACAACACCCAACTTGCAACTTTTTAAATCCCAATCCTTAATGAAATTACCCACTAAGCTATTCACTTAGGTCTTCCCAAGACTCTCCCAATGAGACCCAAGTGACTATGAAAGGCAGTGGGCACAAGTGCATGCAAAAGGAGGAGGAAGTATCAAAATTATGGTTAATTTTACACCTTTTTTAGACTAGCAAATAAGGTCACTGTCATGTCACTTGATGCAGGAACTTGGTTGGCCTATCTTCAATAAATGGTTTTGGATTAGTGTTTTCTAAATACCCTGGCCTCAGGTTTCCACTACATGGGAATGGATACAATGGCTAGGCTTGGCCAGACTGAAGACAGGAGCCAGTCTCCTAAGTAGGTGGCAGAGACCCAAATACAGGGACCATCCTCTGCTGCATTCCCAGGGAGCTGGTTTGTAACTGGTGCTCCAATATGCGATACCAGGTCATAGGCTGTGGCTTAACCCACTGGGCCATAGTGCCAGCTTATTCCTAATATTTAAAATGTGGATTTTTTTTTTACCTTGGCTGGATGAACTTTATGGTTTACATGATGCTACCAGAATAAATTCTGTATTAACAGAAAAGTAGAGGACCCAGAGATATCTAGTTAGGCTAAATGTTGAGAGTCTCTCTGAGAACACTTTGGATAGTGCATATGTATATAATATTGTTCCTCTATTTCTCACATAGTCAAATGTCTTCCCCTTAACCGTCAATGTGGCTTTTATAGGCAAATAATGAGATTTCCAAGAGTACCTATTAGTAGCCACCCTACAGCATGTCCAGGTAGAAAGTCCTGCAGGGAGTGGTACTGTGGCACAGTGAGCTAAGCTGCTGCCTGCAAAGCTGGCATTCCCTGTCAGAGTGCTGCTTTGAGTCCAGGCTGTACCACTTCCAACCCATCTCCCTGCTAATGTGCCTGGGACAACATTAGAAGATGATCCAAGTACTTGAACCCCTGCCAACCCACCAAGGAGACCAGGATGGAGTCCACACTTCAGGCTTCTGCCTGGCTCAGCCTACGTGCATTTGGGTAATGAACCAGAGGATGGGATATATCTCTCTCTCTCACTTGGCCTTGTAAATAAATAAATCTTTTAAAAAAGTAAATCGGGGCCAGCACTGTAACTTAAGAGTGTAAAGTTGCCACCTGCAGTGCTGGCATCCCATATGGGCACCAGTTCAAGTTCCAGCTGCTCCACTTCCAATCCGGCTCTCTGTTTAGGTCTAGTAAAGCAGTGGAAGATGGCCCAAGTCCTTGGGACCCTGCAACCACACGGGGGTTCTGCAAGAAGCTCCTGGCGCCTAGCTTCAAATCGGCACAGCTCCGGCCATTGTGACCATTGGGGGAGTAAACCAGCTAATGGAAGACCTCTGTCTCTGCCTTTCAAATTAATATTTTTTTAAAAGTAGGTAAGTCTTGGCTGGCACCGCAGCTCACTAGGCTAATCCTCCGCCTTGCAGCGCTGGTACACTGGGTTCTAGTCCTGGTCGGGGCGCCGGATTCTGTCCCGGTTGCCCCTCTTCCAGGCCAGCTCTCTGCTATGGCCTGGGAGTGCAGTGGAGGATGGCCCAAGTCCTTGGGCCCTGCACCCGCATGGGAGACCAGGAAAAGCACCTGGCTCCTGCCTTCAGATCAGCGCGATGCGCCGGCCGCAGTGTGCCAGCCATTGGAGGGTGAACCAATGGCAAAAGGAAGACCTTTCTCTGTCTCTCTCTCTCACTGTCCACTCTGCCTGTCAAAAAAATAAAAAAAGTAGATAAGTCTTGCTGGACATACTACAAGTTACCCAAGTCACTACAACAGAATTCAGAGTGAAGACAAATCTGTATTCTTTGGCCACCTCTTGCTTCATAGCAAGATTACAGAGTTATGGTTTCCAAAGAGAAGCCTGTGTTAACTATGAAGGATGTGCTTTACCCGAGAAAGAAAAGAAAGGAAGGGACAAGGGAGGAGAGCTACACCAAGCCCTATAGTGTTCTGTTCCAGTATGTGCATTCAGAAAATGGAGGTCTAATTCCTGAGTACCTACTGTACACCTGGTGCATTACAATGATTATTGCACTTGATTCTCACAAAATCTCTTGACAGTAGTGTATGATCCCTGTTTTACAGACAAGGAAAACTGGAGCCCCAAAATTTAGTTAGGGACTAAGAAAAGACAGTTACTGGCAAATCCAGATTGAGGCAAGGTCTAACTGAATCCAAAGCAGCCCAAGATGCAATTTAAAACGTGCCAAGTGTTAAGAGTCACATAATGCAGAAATTTGCTCCACAGATGTTAGCAATAATCACAACTCATAAAACTTACTGTTAAATAGTTCGAGGGGAAGGCCACCCTCTATAATGCTTATTATGGTGGACAACAACTTCAAAAGTATAAAATTTGGTTCGAAGATCCTCTGCTCTGAGACTCTCTATCCCCATGTACCAAAAGTTTCAACCTCAACTTGATATCAGAATATATCACTCATCAGACAACCTTGACACGGGCACTATATACCTTCCGAGAAAATAGTTAGCAAAGGTGAAATTAAGTTCAGACACAGGTCCTCTACATGTCTGAAATATACATTTTCAGGGGAAGTAGCACCAAATACACGGGAAACCTTACCAATCAGGCCTTGAAGTTAGGTGTTGTATGGAACAGTGACTCTAATCTGGACAGAGACAAGAGAGATCACTTATTAGACAGAAACACCCAAAATAACAAAATTAACACTAGATGCGTGATCCATTTACCCACACACATTCATCCTATTCAT